CAAAGAAATTTCAAACAAATGCGAGAATAAAAGCCATTCAACGCTACTGATATCATTCCTCTCTCACCACAACGCTTCAACATTCAGAAGCCGTGTTTACGACACAATGCGTAGAAATATAAATTAGGTGACAAAGCAATAATATGTTCTGGATGACGCATTTTTTTAAAGAAATATAAAAGAAATTAAAATAATTCTCGATTTACGTGTAGGGTATATGCCTTTTTTTTCCTAGCAGTGCGCATCAAGTGAGTTCGGAGTGCATTCACTTTACGAGAATAAAAACATGGAAACTCTCTTCTCAACATAATTGATCTATGCAAAACACCGCGATACGCAACATTTCAATAAATATCGCACTCGAAGACTCAGCATAAAAGGATTAATACGAGAAAAGTGACTATCGGTAAATATCTTGAACTCGAATGCGCAGCAAATAAAAACTTTATGATGTGTTCAACAGACGTTAGGCGTCGCAGGTGGGGTCAATAGTTTGAGCGTCGGCGTGACAAGATGTAGAAGAGGTAGACCGTTGCAACGTGTCCATGAATCTGTTTTCAAAATCGGGTTCAAGAGAGCCCTGCTGTAGCGTAAAGTTGCATTGACATCTTCCCATTCAATTGACACTGTTTGATTAAAGCCTTTACTAAGCTCTCGTCAATGACAAAATACCGCGCGGCGTTCTAACTCAGTGTTCCTTGTGACATTGCCTAAGTAGACAACTCGAAGCCAAAAGCAATGCTGTGTGCTCATATATCCGTGCACTTTTTATAGACGTCGAAAATTCGCTAATTAACATCGCTAGTGTAACTTTTAGTAATTATCTTTTCTCAATTGGCCTAGTGTTCACCTAGTATGCTTGGCCTATCTTTGTATATTTAACCTTCACTAATAAAACGTTTTGATTAAACTTCAACAATTGTGTTTCGCCTCATTGTGTTTGTGAGATTTTTTGTACGACATCTCTGCTTTTTTGCCACGTCGTCCTTCTGATTAGTCGTATAAGACGTTTGCTTAATGATTTGATTATCTGAAATGAAAATCTGAATAATCTGAAGTTCATGGGCTTCGATGCATCCAAGTTCGCATAAGTCTCTCAAGACGCGTGGTTTTTTTTGTTTTTTTTTACAGTAAACCATTCGGTATTACAACATTGTCACTTAAAAGCACCTCCACTTCAGCACGAGCTTTGTCTGAAAAAAAATTGCTTATAACAAATCATACCTCGCTCTCGTCCAACTAGATTATATGACTGCCAATATGAAACATATAGCCCCAACCATGACAGTGGCAAGTCCTGGCGTATTCCGATCTAGTTAGCAGATTAGATACGCGGGAGCACTCTTCCCACATCTGATCACGAATCGAGTCCTGTCCTCAGCGGTGGCAAAAATGCAGTCTTCGGAAAACAGATGTCATTGTGCACATGGGATGATCAGGGGTTTTTATATACGTTAGACGGCTAGAGAAAGCGCGTCTCTTCCAGTCTAATCATTCTGTAATGACATGGTGCAGGATAACAGCGATAAACCGAGTAGACGGCGCATCATGCTAAGCACGTCGTCTGACTGGAAAAGCACGTTGGCTTCCGGACACGACAGGCCTAATCTACATCGGCTCTGATGGCACAACGTTGGACGCTTAGTGCTTATCTTCTGACTACTCGATCTGGAAGCGCGTGAAGAGCCGCGTTCTGGCTGAGAACTGGTGACACCTCTGTCGTCTTATGACAACGTCACGCTCCAACCACCCCTTAAGCGGGAGCAATATCTATCAGCCTCCAGGGAAGGGCGTGCGTTATATCGCAACAAGCGCAAACGAGAGCCATATGACGCAGTTCATTACGCAATTACGACAGTACGAGAAGGCAGCTTATCTTTAGAAAGAAAGGTTTCGTAATACCATTGAACCTGGGCCGTTCTGTTTTGGTGCTTCACGAAATGCAATTTATCGGCAAAAAATGCATAATACTAAGAAACATTATTTCCTTCACTCTTTACACGAAGGCAGTTTACACGAAGACAGGCGAGATGTTCTGATGCTATCACATAAAAGATAATATGGGACAGCAATTCACCAGTGGTAAGATGGAGAGACGGAGGAAATGGTGGTTTTCCCTTCCTCCGTTACCTCATCGTAAGCATACCTTTTTTACCCACCCACTGACATACCATACTATTCGTATACTATACATAATATACCTAATATGCTGTACTGTTATATATATATATATATATATATATATATATATATATATATATATATATATATATATATATATATCAGTCACATGGTTCACGAAAATGCCTTATTTTCTCTAGTGGGAGTTAACAGCCGAGTTGTTACGACAATGGCATTGAGACCACGAGTACGCCTGTTTTATGAATACAGTTATCAATCACAACTCAAAAACTTTGATTACATTTACTTCGAAAACTTTGATTTCTCCCCCTTTTCACCAACTTGTTCAGCAAGATTTACTACGCCTCTTCTCCCCATTTCTTCTTGTCTCCTCCGACTTTCTTTGTACCAGCGCTTTGCTGTGTCAAGTCAAGTTGTTGCAAGGCAATGCAGTGATGCCGTAGCTCACTTTGGTGGTTTCACGTGACGGATTTCGGCCAGACTAAACAGCTCCGATTTAAAATGCACTGAACTGCAAAGAGAGCTTCAGCAGAAACTGGACAGTCAGATGGCCCCTGAAGTTAGTATTAACCCGGCTCTTTTGAATGCTGAGCGTTTCCTAGTCGCACAATGTCGCGCTTCGGCGTTGGCGGCAACGCTGTCCACACGCCCACTGCGTATGCTGGCGTCTGGCGTCTCGTGCCGCATGCTCGTGTCTCGTGCAGGCCCAAGAAGACACCTGCAAAACTGTCGCTCCCCTCCCTCTCTCCGACCTCGCAAAGCCGAAGCAGGCAGCATTGCTAGTAGAAAAAAAAGTGGCAGCGTATCCACGGAGTAAATGATGGAGAGTAGGGCGAAAATTCGTCCGTCCATTCGTTCTTGCTTCCGTCTGTCCATGCGTCCATCAGTGTGACCGTCCATGCGTCCATCAGCCCGTCCGTGCGTGCGTCTGTTCATGCGTCCGTCCCTGCGTTCGTCCATGCAGCCGCCCCTGCGTCCGTTCATGCGCCCATCCATGCATCTATGTGTCCGTTCGTCCATCTATTCAACACTCCAAGTACCACCATCTCGCATATTTTCATCATATATTCCCCATATAGAAGCACCACCATCCAGCAGACATTCCAAGGAATAAACGAGAGGTGGCACACGCACACTTTCTTACGGCTTGCGCTTCGGGTCCACTTCCCACCTTTAACCACCTCGAGTTCATGGTATATACTAGTTCACTGTATTCATGGCACTGCGGCCGAACGCTCACTAAACCTTTCAAAAACCAAGGAGGTTACGCCCAGCGAGTATGACGTAGCAAACTTTTTCAGTCAGATTGGACTCAATGTACATGCCAATGGCTGCTAATGGGAAATGAGAGGCGGAGAATTCGGCTTTTACTTTCTTACGGCTTGCGCTTCGTATCTACTTCCCATTTTTAACCACCTCGAGTTCATTCATGGTATATACAAGTTCATTGTATTCATGGCACTGCGGCTCAACGCTCGCTAAACCTTTCTAAAGCTAAGGAGGTTACACCCAGCGAGTGTAACGTAGCAACCCTTTCTTGTCAGATAGTGCTCAATTACATGCCAATGGCTGCTAATGGTAATCGCAGCTTGCGCGATAACTAAAAGTCGAATGCTCCTGTCTCTCATTCCCCATTAGCAGCCATTGACATGTACATTGAGCACTATTTTTTATTGTTCAACAACGCACAGTAGAAGTCTCTCACTGGCACCACCTTGGAGGTCAAAATGATATACTTGTTACATACTACGGGAGACAAACGGGTGCCATTATAAGGAGCTTCGCCCCTAAAATGACGGCTAGCTCTGTGGAATGGTTCCCTGGCCTCCCCTTATGTGTAGGCACTGGATCGCGCGTTCAGAATTCAGTCAAGGGCGTCTTTACATGTATTTCACTTGACGTTGAAGGCAACGCTTCTCCTTCATTCAATAAATAAGAACAATATAGACGAAATAACAATTAGGCTTTTCGAAATCACATCCAATTACGCAACATTCACGCGATACCCCCCACCCTCTCCGACGCATTTACTCAAGTCCCCCTTTCCCGTGGGTAGATGCCGGCGGCAATTGTTTTATTATGCCCGCACAATAAGGTTGCATAATGCTCTAACTGATAAACAAGTATGTGAAGTTACAATTCGAAAGCCGACATGTGATGCGCAGCCACATTCTCTGTTGTATTTCATAATTAATAACACATTCGGCATCTTTCACGGAGTACGCTTTTATCAATTATACTCTTTTACATTACAACATTGAGCAAGGCAGGCAGGCGAGCCGTCAAATATTCATTATACATTTGTTTAGTTCAGTTAAGCAAATCAAAGCAAGAAATACTTGGGAGAGGGTGATATTTTTTATGAGTGGCAGTCATTATTGTGAGCATACCTATTGCTTTAGCAGCTTCACAGTACTACGATCCCCCGTACTAGTGCTGTTGAAGCTTTATTTTGTTAGTGACATGTCTGTATTACTAAGGAGCACTTTAAATTCAGTTCACCCTTAACATGCTAACTTACGAAGTGCCTTCTGCGTTTTCGATACTTGACTGAAGTCACTCTTTCTAAGATCAGAGTCACCATTGGCTCCTACGAGTTCGAAAAAATAACTGCGGCACCTTCGATCTATTGAAACCGAAGTAAAGAAATCTAAACATATCACCATTTCCAATGTATGCAAGGTATAAGCAAAAGTGTACCTTGATGTCTTGAACGCGATGCTTTGACATCACAACTACCAAACATGGTCGTCAATTTAAACCAACATTTTTGTCTTGGGTAACATCTGCCAAGCAACAATAAACAAGCAGAAGAACAATAGAAACACATCTACGGTGAGAAGAACACACACAGGAAGTTGTATTGGTCTGAATATTTATTGATTCGAAGTATTTCTTTCTCGAAATGATACACTTACACAAGTTACGCTGCAAGATAACTAGCACTAATCTACTCGCATTTCGACGATAATTACAAAAACCGAATGTACGACACCTGCAAACGCTTATCTCTCCTGACTAGTGTATAAGCTCTGAAAAAGTTCAACATCTTAAACTATCAACACGCAGTAACAGTAGAATATATCGAGAGAAAAAGACACTGTCGACAAACAAGCATGGTTGGGTGCCTGCTAATCGAGCGAAAGGGAAAAAAAGTATATTATAATGGTAACTTGATTTAAACATTCAATCGTGAGGCAGTTCTCATCTGTGTAGTTTGCGAGCTTTATTTTCGTAAAGTTGTGTTTATAAAGATGCTGAAGCAACTCGGTTGGTTCATAGTTATGTAACCTACACAACGGGCTATCGAGAAGCACTGGCTTTACTCCAAGTATGCAGAGTTTTCAGCCTTGAATCTCTTGACCAAATACATGAATACCAGGAAAAAAGCATTCATCTCCACGATCATTGCACCATGTTATATGGCTAGTTCCATCTACTAAGTTTATCCTGATCATGTGACAAATCAGATGTTTTGTACATGTTACTTCTATACAGCCATCATTTTATATACAACAATCTGTTTTTAAAAGAAATTTATTAAGATTTCTATATGAAACAAGTCATCTCTTCATTCTATACCTTTCTAACAAAGTATTGAAAGAAAACATATCACCAAGTCTCTCTAATTGGACAATATTGACATAATGAACACTGTTTGAAATGTATTGCTGCGTGCGGAGCCAAGCTTTTTCGAATAAATATTTCAGGCGCAGTCTAATTGCATCGCATAGGCTTGCAACTATAGGTCAAATTAACTGAGATTTACAGGCTCTAAGTTAATACTTGCTGTTTGCATAGTCGACGATGTTTCTTGTTTAAATGTGCAAATTCTCAAACTTTGCGATTGAATTTCATCTTTTCAAAATGTTTTACCTTCCTAAAATTGTAGGAAATCTTCCTGAGAACTGGGGCAGTAAATAAAAGTCTTCTTCCAAGAAATGAGAAGTCAAATTCAACATTTTTTCTCTTTCACAAGTTATTAAATGAGTGACATAATTTGAGGCTCCCGCCATCGCCAGCTAATACCTTTTAGTATCATACATTAAAAGTTATTTACAGTGCAGCAACTTTAAAGCCGTGCATGCACTAAATCACACCTGTGCATCTTTCTTTTGAAAGAAGAGCGCGTTTACCTCCCGGTAAATACTGCTTTATTGAAGAAGTTTCCAACTCGCTATCTAAGTGTGGCATCATTGTAAAGGACAAACACTGTGTCATTTAATCCGTTTCTGAGCTCTTCAAGCTCGTATAATATTGATCGGTAGTACCTCAGTGATAGTGACAATGAGAATAATCCGAGATACGCTAACAGACACAAAGCGTGAGGTGTATGAGTGATCTTTAGTAAATATAGATGTGCAAAAAAAGTACAGGAGCATAAATATCTGAACTTTTGAGATGCGCAAAACGTTATGCGGTAAAAGTAAGGCTCGTTCTTTACAAACAGCCAATGGGGTTGCGGCAACAACGATCAAGACTCGCGTCACATTCGTTTCATCGCTACTGGTGACCTTGGCCCGTTTACCTGTTCTTCTGGCTACAGGCCTCAGAAAAGATAGTAAGGCCAGTAAGCGATGCTGAACGCCAGGAATGCCATCGGGAATGCTATCCTGCATGTTTGGTCAATCCTTTTGGCCTGAACCTTGTGGTTATTTTTGATAGAGTCGGCATCAGTCGGTGAAGGGTTTACATCGGTGCCACTGGAAATGAGGTTGCATGGTGCCTGTGGGTTGGGAAAGAATTGCAGCGTTTTAGTCCCCGTTGATGAGGTCAAGCAATGAGAAGTTAAAGGAGAAGCCTGCATACACTGAGTTTATCCGCTTAAATTTGGCATGTGTAACACGTATTGCCCACTTTCCCGTCTTGTATTGTATTAAAGATGCTACAACACTTAGATTGAAATATTAATTGTAAATAATCAATTAAATCATGCTAGTTATGAAACCACAGAGAAGCGACCAAATAACGCTTTGCTACATGTACTCTGCTTTGCTTTGACATTAGGGAAAGCTTTATTACTATCACGCGAAAATTATTTTCAATCAAGCTATTATGTCTCTGATTGGAGTGAGCGACATGCAAAAGCACAAAACGAAAGTAAAAAATCTGTCGGCGTGTATTGGTGCAATCAACATTTTATCAAAGCACTCGAATACACCACCTGTTTACACGGAAGTTTCATATTGTTATAGAAATTTATAAGGTTTGAGACGCGGCACCAGTAGATTATTCGTTGCCAGCTACATCAGCTGCTGAAATTTGCAAAGTATGAAGTTTTCAGGAACCAGTCTTTGAAGTAACCTTTTTAAGAAAATGAAGTTCGCCAAATTAGGGCAAATTTTAAAAGCAGCAAACCAAGTGTTTTTTTTATTCATCTCTTTAGCGTAAAATTTTAATTTTCAAATCTATGCAAGATATGACAATGCATAACTCAGTAGGAAACAATGTCGCAGTTATTTGTAAGATAAGTTGTGTTACGCTTTCAAAGCATCAGTCACTGTACTATTGAATCTCGGTTATTTTCCTCAGCACTGAAGACACTGCTGATTGTATAAATAAAGCTAAATATCTGAGAAGGCTTACCAAGTTACCGTTGCACGCCTTTTCCGGAATCAGCTGAAACATGTAAAAAAAAAACATATTGTAGACAACGGGAATAATTCGAAATATCCAGACATGAAAAAGCCCCTCACGTGCGTGATGAAGTGCTTCTGGTATAGCAGGCCCTTTCTTTTAAATATTTTTGCTTTCAATCATGCTGCTTTTTCACATTGCTCCACATTAAAAACACAAAACAGTTAGTCCATACCAGTGAAAGGCGCAAGTATGTGGCATAACAAAAATTATAATTATCTTAGGCGTATTGGGCGCCCAGCATTGTGCTTGTTGCAGTTACCCGAAGAGTGTTTAGAAAAGGCTCTCAAAGGCCGCTCTTCTAGCTTTCGCTGTGACTGTGCTGCGCGGTCCGCACAGGCATGACCTTATTATTATTATTATTATTATTATTATTATTATTATTATTATTATTAATATTATTATTATTATTATTATTATATTATTATTATTATTATTATTATTATTATTATTATTATTATTATTATTATTATTATTATTATTATTATTATTATTATTATTATTATTATTATTATTATTATTATTATTATTATTATTATTATTATTATTATTATTATTTTCGCGTCACAACTCGTGGACTCTCCTTAAAGCACAGCGTGTTTCGAATGGCTTTAACAAATATAACTCGCAAATTTCAAGCGGGACCAGCTGGCTTGCTACACGTAAGGCACTTACTTTAAAATTCCCTCTGCGTTTAATTGCGTGCATCAGTGCAAACTTAGGTCACTCGAAGCACTACAGAAGTTAGGCAGCACTATTCGAACTGTTTATGACGACCGGAAGCCGTTAAGCCTTAGCAAGACAAAGTCGTTCCGTTGTCATTCTGTGCAAGGGTAAGTGGGCGAGTTACATGGGGTTTCAAAAGAACGTCGCCACCTCCCAGCCAGAAAGAGCAAAAAACAGAGAATGCTTGTTAGAACTGCTGGTCACTGCGAGCGAGGCCTCTGCCCTTTAAATCGCAAAATATTTAACTAATAGAATAACAACTTACAATATGTAAATGCAGCTAGCCACAAACTTACACTTCACTGTTATTCCTTTCCACTTACAACTTGCTCTGAACGGTACAAACTGCAAAGCGTGCGTACATGGACAAAAGAATAAACTACCGCAGAGAACATTATGATCATGCTAAATATTGCCTGAGGTGCCAAGATAGAAGACTGTGAGGGAATCTATGTGTTAGTGCCTCTTCACATGCTCCTAAAGTTGGCTGAACGAAAAATATGTAAGCTAGATTCAATAAGTACAAGTTTTCAGTCAGTAACTTTATGCATTTAATGAAATTCAGAGGAAAGTGTTACGAACTCCAAATATCTCCGCCCATCACACTTTACATCTCTAGCGGTCGGGTTTGTCTATTCGCTGTTTCACGAACTAACAGTAACTGAACGTGTGTATGTTTGTATTTTGTTGTTTATTTAAAAATAATTCAATACATTGCACCCTCTCCTCTCGGCATTTTGTCATGTTACATTGATGTCACCTGCTTTAGTGCTGAGGCACAGATCTAAAGTACAAAAGACAAACGCTGACTAATTGCAGAAGACTTTACCAAAATATAAAATAGAGAGATAGAAATAGAGAGGTAAGGTAGGGATGTTAACCAAGTTTTAGCTCGGTTGGCTACACAACACTGGGATGAGAAAAAAGGGCAATAATAAAAAAACGAAATATAGAGCAAAAGATCCGTAAAAAAGAAATTGACAAACAGTCAGCCTGAAACAATGCAATTCGGTTTCACGCTGTTACTTCACAAGCGCTCGTGAAGTCCAGTGGCCTTTAAGAAGCGCAAGAGAGCTGTCGTGCCTTTGCGCATACATAAAATATATATATTGGTGACTGATTCGCGACGGTGGTCTAGTGGCAAGGTACTCGGCTGTTGACCCACAGGTCGCAGGATTGAATCGCGGCAGCGGCGACCAATTTTTCGATGGCGGTAGAAATGCTGTAGGCCCGTGGGCTTAGATTTAAGTGCACGTTAAAGAACCTCTGGTAGTCGAAATTTCCGGAGCCCTCCATATGGATTCCATTCTCATATTCATATGTCAGCTTTGGGACGTTAAATGCCAACAAATAATATTATTATATATAGGCGATTTCCGGACGCAATATTGAAGGTCAAGGAACGCTCCTTAGTATTCACATGCCATAATAAAAAAGCTTCACAAACGCAAGTGCAACCAAAAAGGCAAGCTTTTAGATTTATGTATATGATCAACCCATTTGGTAAAAAAAAACAGGTCTATGCTTTGTACGATATAAAAAAACAGTTTCACCGCATTGGTGAATCAATTATTGTGATAGCGACAAACTGTAATATCATAGGTTGTAAGACAGGTAGCTATCTCTTTTGCATAGGGTCTCGCATAACCCCACGATACACTAGTGAAAGAGAATGTGGCCTATCAAGAGAGAGTTGTTTTTCGCGCAGTCTCTTACGCCATTCACCATGACGGCGTAATATTAATTTCCTTGTGATTGCCAATTTTTTCAATTGTTTGTGACTATATGCTGAAAGCGTCTTCTCACTACTACCCCCTGCTGCGCAGGTATTTTATGCGACTCAGATTTTTCAACAGAAGACCACATCCATAGAAAACCGTATTATCACCTATACATTACCTAAACACTGATGCTTTCTCTATCGCATGGTAGAGCTCAATGAACGCAGCAGCGACTTTTTCTAGGATCTTTTTTCTCTCTCTTGTTCTTTCTTTCTCGCCATTTGTCTGATTTCTCAGACGTTTTCACCTGCTGTATTTGCCTGAGATGTACTTCAAGCCTTGTGTCAACAATATTGTTTACGATACTCACAACAGCGACTTTGCTCTCCGGCACAGCTGTGAGTACTGAAGACGGTGACTTGGCAGTCCCGGGCCGCTTTCTCCACAGGTAGTTGACAAAAGTGAACTCGAGCAACGCGGCAAACACGAACATGGTACATGCCCCCATCCAGACATCGATAGCCTTGACGTACGAAACGGGTGGCAGGTTTCCTTGTATGCCGGCCCCCTTTGATGAGATTGTTAGCAGCGTAGTTACGCCCAGAGTGATTCGTGCCGGAATCGCTTCCACGTCGAGCCAGAACGAGACCCATGAGATGACCACGATCAATATGGTGGGTAGGTACGACTGGACAAGGTGGTAGCCAATGGACCGCTGCAGGTTGAACTCGGCTTTTAGGCAGCTGTACTCTCCTGCATGTTGAAAAGAAAGAATTCAGCGAACCTTTTGTACCAGTGCTGCTAACGCATGTGTTGGACACAGCATGTCAACCTAAGTTTTTTTTGTGTGTATCTCGTGATAACTTTCATCTTTTGAACAAAAAATATTTAGCTATGCGATATTCTACGCCACTCATTAGGACTGATACTACAGCATATTACAGATGGCGATATGAAATGATCTACTGTTTTTTTATGTTCATTAGGAAATTCTAGCGTTTTATATAGCACCGCCTTTTCCTTTTCGCTGAGAAGAAAATTCGCGAGAATCAGACAAATAAGAAACATCGCATAAAAAAAAAGATAGGAGAGTCTATGCAAGTCAGTCAGGCCATAGATTATCAAATACTCATGAAGTTCAGCTGTGTAGCAAAACGAAAAAATATCCAAAATACAATCCAGCCATCTTACACTACAAAAGCTATTTCATTGTATGTATTTCGGCTCGTCATCAATTATCCGTTTCATAACCATTTTGCCACCATTCCGCAGAACGCATCAATCATGCATAACTCCACAATTTGTGGGGTCTTACGTTCCAAAACCATTATATCATAATAAGAGGCGCCGCAATGGTGGGCTCCGGAAACTCTGATCATAATTACCGTACACTGACAGCGCACAATACACGGGTCTCTACAATATCGCATCCATCTAAGTGCGACCGCCACAACCGGGATTCAAGCACGCAATCTTCAAGTCAGCAGCCGAGTATCTTAGCCACTAATCCACCGTGGCAGATCAAAATGTTGTCAGACTAACACCGCATATGCACTTAAATACGCTAAAATAAATATAAAATTATTTTTATCAAAGTTTCACTTAGAATATTTCATCATCATCATCATCGTCATCATCATCAGCCTGACGACGTCCACTACAGGACAGGAAAGAAAGGAAAGAATGAAATGTGCCCCCAATTCAGGCTTGAATACGACAAACCTGCTATAATCTTGTTACAAGTAATATTAACGCATCTAATTGCCATCTTGTGAAAAATCGTACTCTCTAATTATTTTGTAAGGTGCGCAAAGTGTTGGGACCATAGCCATTCCCGGATGAAAATCATCGTTTTTAGTGAACAATAGTCTGAAAAGCAGTTTACCGCAGTGCTCTTCGGAGTTAAATTGCATATCTTTTTTTTCGCAAACTGATATCTTGGCCACCTGGTCTTGATATTTATTCGCATGAAAACGATTAGGTGGGCACTCTGTTGACTCTTGCATGTAGGACAATTCTCCTGTTTTCTCAACCATTCCTTTATTGCTTTTGTATATTCTATATTGTTTTCGAAGATGACAATTCTTGCTTCTTCCATTTGAGTGTGTATGCAGTGCTTTGCGATATATTTTGTTATATTAACAGTGCTTGATCAACAAAGTATTTATATTCAGACACTCAAGTTTCACCTTTCCGCATTTCTACGTTGAAATAAACTATCACCTTTTGTTATATTTGTATTGATAAACTTACAAACATAATATAATTGACTTCCTTGAATTCGCAGTGCGTTTTCCGATGTCTTGCTCATCAACCGTAATTTATACACCTTATAAGGTATAACAGCGATAAAATTAACACAATATCCCGCACTAAACCCCTTCCTTTCCAGTAAAGGCCCTTGGTGTTACAAAATGGTCATCAACGTAAATCACAAAGAAATTGTTCGAACACTGCACACTTACCAATATGGAATGTCTCGTTGCACAAGGACGTGTTCACGTTTTGAATTTCGAATTGAGGCAGCTTCATGTTTTCGTAAAGGATCACAGGAGCTGCTTTAGACCAGTGCAGTTGCAGCTCATCTGTCGTCTTTGAGACTGCAGGAGAAGATATGAAGCAAATATAAGCGAAATATACATTCGGTTGGGTAAATAAACCAAATATTTTGGATCAAACCATAAGTCATGGCAAACACATACGTACACGTATTATCTTCAAATATTGATTCTATGAGCAAAGTGGCCTCTCACATGCAACATATTCATACATCTCTAAACTCGACTATGCCATTCTACTCTTCAATTCTTTTGGCAACCTATTGGCAACCATTCTTTTGGCAACCTATTGTACGTTCATGAGCACCCAAATTGAATATGTTTCTCTACTCCAGTGATCTCGCATGTGATTTGTCGAACTATTATTACTAAATGAAGAATTTTTAGTTTTTTTATGCCACACAGACGACGAACCACAGGAAGCTCTCGCAATATACTTTAATCAAAGTGGCCTTCGAGTTGTGTAGAAGAGGTCGCCTGGCATGTGCGAAGGAGTGATGTAAAGCTGCTCCTCACCCTTTATTTCCCACCTTATCGCCTACAGTGACCAAGAGTCGTCCTTTCCATTAACATACCCTCCATTGATTCATTCGAGTTTTATTTATTTACCCACTTACATGAAGCAAGTTCAATGGTGCAGACTTGCGAGTCAAGAGGGTACCGGTAAAGGTCCATCATGCAGGAAAACGTCAGCTTCAGCCTGCATGAAAACGAAAACCAAATCAATTGCCCAAAAAGCAGCCAACCAAATGATTTCTCATAAGAGGTTGTGTGGACCGCTACAGTTGATTTACTTGCTAAACAAGAAAAGCACAATCCGGTTACCAAGTCCAAATTTATGGTTAACATAAAAAAGACACAAGATTGAAGCTCCTCTCTTCAATTTTTCGCCGTAAATATGCACTAAAATTACACATTTTTGACGGTTTTCAATTAAAAGCAAAAAATTATTGTTCCCAAATTCACCCTAACGCTTACGCAGGTGTCACGGGTCAAAGCTGTGCCTAACTAAAAAATGATTGATGCACTGGACTTCCATGCATATCCGCTTAACAATTGACATCCTGGTAAATGAGTTCAACATTTAGTGTGAATTGCAGAATGGAAACAGCCGGTCAGATGTGCCTGACATGAACTTAATCGAAATCGAAGCTACCGTTCATCCTCCAGAGTCATCGGTTGTGCAGATGTGTCAACTTCAGAAGTGTAAGGAGTATCATAGTGAAATAGACCTCTCTGTTAAGCCTGAAGTGGCACGCCCAATTTCGAATGGGAAATTTTGCCTCAGTAGGAGTTTTATCTGAGGGTTGCAAAGAAGTGCACGTTAAAAAATTCTGTAGAGCTTGCGCACAACAACGACAAAAAAAAGAAAAAAAGGGGGCAAGGTGCCCTCTTCTTAATATCGTTACAAAAAGAATGAAAGCCAACATTTTCTGTGTATGAATGAATTTTTATATTCCTCAATTTCTTTTGTCTTTTTTTCAATTTCTCACAAAGATTTTTTTTTGTTTTAGGGGAGAAGCTTTTCTTACTTTAACCTTGTCATGCGTCACACGTAAGCGAGAGAAGAAGAGACGAAAAAAAAAAGATGGCAGTATCTCCCGAACAGTATAATAGACGGCTCTGTCTCATAGAAGTACATACCAACTGCAGTTGAGTGGGGATATTATAGACGGCGCTGTACCACTACTCTCCTATTGGCTGCTGCACGATCTGTGCCTGGGTACGCGGAGAACGAGTGCCTCTCAAGTCTCCTGAATAGTCACCGTACGTGGCGGATTGTTTGTGGGGCATGGACAAAGCCGAGAAGCGGGCGCGTTGAATACGCTTGCGCTCGGCTTCCTTAGCTCACTTCTCGTCGGTGTTACCCGCGCGCTGTCTGCATTCTCGAACGTCATCAGACGCATGGACACATGGGCAGGCGAACGGACACATGCACGGATGGATGGATGGATGGATGGATGGATGGATGGATGGATGGATGGATGGATGGATGGATGGATGGATGGATGGATGGATGGATGGATGGATGGATGGATGGATGCACAGATGTATGGATAAATGGATGGATGGATGGATGGATGGATAAATGGATGGATGGATGGATGGATGGATGGATGGATGGATGGATGGATGGATGGATGGATGGATGGATGGATGGATGGATGGATGGATGGATGGATGGATGCACAGATGAATGGATGGATGGATGGATGGATGGATGGATGGATGGATGGATGGATGGATGGATGGATGGATGGATGGATGGATGGATGGATGGATGGATGGATGGACGGACGGATGAATGGATGGATGGATGGATGGATGGATGGATGGATGGATGGATGGATGGATGGATGGATGGATGGATGGACGGACGGACGGACGGACGGATGGACGGACGGACGGACGGACGGACGAATGGATGGATGGATGGATGGATGGATGGATGGATGGATGGATGGATGGATGGATGGATGGATGGATGGATGGATGGACGGACGGACGGACGGACGGACGGACGGACGGATGGATGGATGGATGGATGGATGGATGGATGGATGGATGGATGGATGGATGGATTGATGGATGGATGGATGGATGGATGGATGAATGGATGGACGGATGAACGGACGGACGGACGGATGGATGGATGCATGGATGGATGGATGGATTAACGAATGGACGGATGGACGGATGGACGGATGGAGGGATGGACGGACGGACGGACGGATGGACGGACGGACGGGCGGATAGACGGACGGACGAATGCTTCGCCTCACTCATCATCATTCACTCCATGGATATGCTGGGATTTTTTTTTAACACGTGTCTATCTCAGCGTTTCTACGCTACAATTACAATTATTACTACCCTTCATCTGACAAATATGCGAGGTGTTAACCGTCCTCCAAATAAATCATGTTAAACGCAACTTTTATTTAAGAGCATCGCCCATCTCACTTTTTTAACATTATCAAATTGAAGTGGACAATTTGTTTTCCCCCTATGGTTGTAACACATGAACAATGCGAGGCTGGAAATATATTGTAAAATTACCTTTTCAGTGACTAATTTAGCCTTTTTTGCAGAAAAGTTCATTTGTACTTGCAAATATTTTTAAGAATAATATGTAAACGCTAATGCTCAAGTTCTCTTAAATGACTGGTGATAATTATCTCATTATTTTATCAGTGTGGATATGGTTTATTGCTTTGGGTAGAGCTTAATGTACACGATAATGCACGAAATTAATAATCGCATAATCATAATGTACATAATGCTACGCAGGTTTCAATAATTCACGCATGTTCTCGTGGCATAAACTGTGATTGCACTACTTATTATGTAAACGCTATCTGTTTCTCGCATGAGGCTTTGCAATTGAGTATACAGGTAACTGAAGATACTGTCAGAGAGGGTTGTGGAAGCTTGTGCGTGCCTTTCTTAAAGTATGATATTTTTTACAAGTGAAATGTGTATTTCCTTAAATCAATGTAAAATCATGAAATAACCTGATGCCACTTTCTCTCTTTTTTTCATGTAAAGGTTATATAATGTGCTAATTAACGTTTTCTAGTTTTGATAGGCATTCGTTGGATTCTAAGCGGTAAGTGGAAGTCCGAAACCATTCTAAGCATTGATACCCTCACCTGAGCATGTAGAGGATGTCACCCGAAGGGCTGATTCTAACCAGTACATTGGGCACCGTGACGTACTGGAACTCGGCGTGCTTCGCGTTGGCGAAGAAGACCTCCGGCTTCCAGATTCGTTGCACTAGTTTAGGGTCATTCAAGTCGAGCGGTCCACTGATGCCACTCATCTCAAAGCGGTCATCGTGCCATCGCTGACGCAGGTACAGGTCTACTTCGTAATCCTGAAGAGAGTAAATTGCAGCATTTTTTTAGAAATAAAAACTTTTTTGACTCCTCAGTGTTAACAAAACGACTTGATTTCAACAGAATAAGAATGAACATTTTCTTTGTCTTAAATTCACACTCAGAAGAAAAAAAAAAGAGTACCCTGACCCCCCCCCTTTTTTTTTGTGAGTTCTGACTAATCACGTCCATGACGATTCGAGAAAAGACGTGAACTCTCTTTGGAAATCATTAAACTCTCATAAGAGGGTAGAGACACTTAAAAAGAACTAACGTGGCTTTTTGAAGACAATCATAAGCCTAGCGAACCAGAGTTATCGAAAGGAGTTACGAATGCTTGTTTTGTTTCTAAGAGTGTTGGTAAACATATCTCCGAGTCCATTGATAAAGCGTGCAGCAAGAATTGCGAAGCACACTTCTTACGAAGCCTTCTGCTGTAAGTGCGAACCCCTGCTTGCGGTAACATTAGAAGTGTCCTCAATTCCCCGAAAATTTTAAAGCAGAGCTAATTACACGCATGCCAGGAGTAAATACATTCATGCACAGCGGCTAACCAATACAAATTATTTATTGAGCAATAACGGGACAACATTCTTGACAACTTTGCATAAAAAAAAGCACTGCGCCCGACTTCTAATTTATTTGAGCCGTAAACAGAGACGTAAAAATAGAATAGCATCTGCTTTTTTTTTAAATTACACGAAATACGCATTCCTTCATGCGCACAAAGCTACATGTTTCTTCAGAATAAAAAAAAGATACAAGGTTAAAAAGTAATAAATGAGTTACAGGGTCGAACCACAATAATGGCTCTTTCCTTTTGAAAACGCAAAAAAAAACGAAACATTAGCACGCATGTGTTCATGCGGGCAAACCCACACACTTATTTCCAACGAGTGCTTCTTTCTCTCTGACACAGTATCTTATATAAAAAGGTCTCACCGAGGTTACGAAATACCGCTAGACCGATAATGTTTTTACTAACGTTACGAAATTATCATACTTTTTGATATTTTAGCAAAGAGCCTTATATTTCGGCATGTTAGGTTGCGACGACCAAAACCACACAGCAAGACCTAACCTTACTTGGTTATCACACATTTGGTATTCCGCTAAACTTACTTACAAAAGACGAACATCTGGTACGGTTTCACGCATGCTGGACGCAATTCGAGAACTCGGGCATCGGCCTGTCGTTCAGCCTAATGGCCTCCTAAACAGCCGCCGCATTCGTTACACGTGATCCACCAGACCGTGAAATGCGAACGGCCATTTATTTTACTCATTGTTTCATTCCGCGTTCACGCTGTCAGCGTCGCGGTGAGGGTAAGTTGGTTTCATGTTCTCAGCAGCTGGCGCTTTTGTAATCAACCCTGATTCCGGCCATCCGTTTTGTATTCTTTTTTCTAATACCCTAATGCTTGTCTATATAGCGAATACTTGGCAAAGTTAGGGCACATCACTTCAGCGGACAAGGAACATGAGAAATCTGCCGCTTTCACAAAACTCAGATATAATTTAGCGCATATTTTCACATCGTGGCAAGTGGCATTGTTGGAGTTAAAATATCTAAATTTATTTTATATTAAATCTGTACGTCTGTACTTTACACGCGATATCTTTACACGAATCAAAAAAGTTTGGTATTTTGTCTTTCTTTCTAATTTATTCATAGAGCACGGCAACAAGACTGTAAATTAACCATATCGAAGATGTCACTTTTACTGCCTTCAAGCAATAATACGTATTTGTCCATTTTTCAAGAGACAAAGAATTACCTACGTACCATGGTGGCCGGGTTGATGGAGCCAAAACTTCTTATGTAGATTTCACATGCGACTTGAGTAGGTCCACCTAATAAATGTGGTGATTATATTATTAAAAACGAAATATAAAGGCCAATATTCAGGCATAGTGTTACGCGAAACACGGTGAATAACGTCTACGTTTTGGGTAACACTCCTTCATAATCTGGCTAGGCCTTTCAGCTATTTGTCTTAATTTAATCGTGTCTCCCGAAACAATCTATGTCCATACTAAAATGGTTCATAATATGTTCACATAAGAGTGTTTTGGAAGTATGTGAAAGGCACGTATATGTATTCCTTAATACTACAAAATTATAGGAATAGCCTAAATAATGCTTTGGCAGGGTTTTAATGGGGCTAAGTAGGCTGAAAGCCTAAATAGCAATGCGACAACAATTACAAAGACAAAAGTTTCCCCGACACTGTGTACCGCACCAGCCGCATCATCATGATAAACAGAAAACAACAACTCACTCATGTGACCCGTGGGCAGAGCCCTCCTGTCATATTTGCTCAGCAGTTTGTCCAACTTGTCCAAATCACCGACAGTACCATGTCTGCTGCGAAAAAAAAAAATTGAAAGAAAGTCGAGACCAGCGTAAGGCCATCGTGAAGGCTCTCTACTGCTGCTACTTAGTTCACAAAAAGAATGAGATCGTCTGAAACCTACTCGCAAAATTTAGCCATGACAATGTCTGCCAATTAGGTCGAAGTTTTTTTCTGAGATTGTACTTCCTGAAATCTTGTGGCTTGTCGTGGCGGCACGCGTGTACCTGGGACTCCATTGCACATCTTGTGAGTGCAGATTCTTCAGCCAACTAGGAGTCCTAATGATGGTTTACTAAAGAATGCGTCCTATTCGAATAATTGTCCCTTACTGTTTTTCTTGCTCGCCCCATTTATTAGTACACACCAACATCTCTCGCTACCAGATTTACTTTCATATCGACGCTGTTTGTTCTAAATGGCGAGACTTGCGCGTGTGCACGTGGCATTTGTTACATTAAAGTAGTACAGTTTTGCCAAGTTGAAACCCGTGAAACTATTAGTGCATTTGGCGCAGCCGATGAGCGCTTAGAACACCGAGAGTGGTCATTGCTTTATCTAGTGGTAGCGAGAGAACTGGTGTCGCATTGTAACAGTCTCCGACTTCTATAGGCGATCATTCATCCGCAGTGGCTGGGCAAAAAAAAAAGGAGGAAAAGTCGCAAATCAGGCCGAACGTCAATTTGCGTTTCTTGAGAACTGTGTGTTCCACACGTTATTTTGAAGACATTATGTACGATACTTGAAAAATAGAATTTCATTCTATACTAGTAACAACAGTTCAAATGAGTACAACTGGACCGTGTAACAAAATATTTTCAGTGGGACGTACAACGAAGAGAACACGGGAATGAAGTAACTTACAGCTCTGCAATACTACCACAGATCACACATCACTGAAAGGAACAAAGATAATAAGAAACCCAAAAGGTCACTAAGCTTGAACAGAATCACGTAATATTTGTGAAAAAAAGCAACAATTTCTTTCTCCCTGTCAGTCACTTCTAAAACAGGAGCAACAGAAATTCAATATTCTGATTCTTCACGCCGAACAATGGTATATAACGTCTTCTGATGAAGGCTTCTTCACTTTGCGTTTCGATTTTTTGGTAAGGCACCAAAGACGAACATTCTAACCTTCTGTAACGCTAGGTATGCAATTCATTGTGATCGTCAGCATGCTTCGGCTAAAAAGCGCGGACGCCACAATACGAACAATATGACAGAAAATAAGAGTTGTTCAGATTAAACCCTCTTGCGCTGTCCACCCGAACGATCGGAGGCTCTGAATCGATGCCACACAACGTGACACTGTAACACGTTTTTGGCAGCTACGCATTCAAACATTGTATTGTGGATCGATTCTTTTTTGCCACAGTTGGAACAGCGATCATTTGGAACCAGTCCCAATAAGACAGTCTCTGACTAGTGGGCAACGCATCTCGCCGTCGCAGCCAATCAAATTCTTTAACGACTTCTGGCATCTGGTTCAAGAAGGGAAGCTTTATTCCACACGTAACGGGCACATAAACAAAGGAAACAACAAAAAAACAAGCAAAGACAGTGTATACTCCTTTCAAACGAGCACTGCAACGCAGAACTTCCGGTCTATCTTTCTGTCGGTCTGTCTGATGAACGGTTCATTGTAACCCCATCCTCAACGCCCACCCCTCTTGATCTGGTGGCTGCGTTAATACTTGTGAACATTGTGAATCAAAAAGCAAATATTACAATATTTTAGGCATAATATCACAACGTGAATGTTGGACAGTCTGTCTTTTCGTTTATGAAATGCATAGATACGTTATTTTGAAGGCCACAGTGTCCATTACGCTGTGCTGACAGTGCGACGCTATGAGCGAAAAACCAGGCGTTGGCTACCCTTCACTCAAGAAATTGCAGCATATCCACGGAGTGAATGATGGAGAGTGGGGCGAAGCATCCGTCTGTCCATTCGTTTTTGCTTCCGTCCGTCCATGCGCCAGTTTGAGTGACCGTCCATGCGTCCATCCACCCGTCCGTGCGTGCGTCTTTTCGTGCGTCCGCACATCCGTCCGTGCGTCTATTCCTGCGTTCGTCCATGCATCCGCCCCTGCGTCGGTCCATGCGTCCATCCGTCTGTGCAGCCATCCGTGCGTCCATCCATGCATCTGTCTGTGTGTCCGTTCGTCCATCTCGTCAACACTCGAAGTACCACCATCTCACATCTTTTCATCATATATGCATCCGTTTGTGTGACCATCTGTGCGTCCATCCACCCATCCATGCATGCGTCTGTGTGTGCGTCCGCACGTTCATCCGTGCATCCGTCCCTGCGTTCGTCCATGCATCCGTTCCTGCGTTCGTCCGTGCAGCAATCCGTGCGTCCGTCAATGCATCTGTCTGTATGTCCGTACGTCCATCTAGTCAACACTCCAAGTACCACCATCTCGCACCTTTTCATCATATATTCTGCATATAGAAGCATCGCCATCCAGTGGACATTCCGAGGACTAAACGAGAGGTGGCACACGCACACTTTCTTACGGTTTGCGCTTCGTGTCTACTTCCCACCTTAAACAACCTCGAGTTCATAATATATACTAGTTCACTGTATTCATGGCACTGTGGCCCAAAGCTTGCTAAACCTTTCTTAAACCAAGGAGGTTACGCCCAGCGAGTATAACCTAGCAACCCTTTCTTGTCAGATAGTGCCCAATGCACATGCCAATGGCAGCTAATGCGGAATGAGAGACAGGAAAATTCGGCTTTTAGTTAATGCGCATGCTGCGAATCTTTTATTGTTCAACAACGCACAGGAGGAATCTCTCACCTGCACCACCTTGGAGGTCACAATGTAACACTTGTTACGCACTACGACTACGAGGAGGAACGAACGGGTGCCGTTTTAAAGAGCTTCACCCCTAAAAATTCTGATACTTTAACTAAAACGATCCGGTGCTGCTATCTACCAGTATCTCTGTGTTAGCTCATGCAGCACCTCCAGATTTTCGTCTTTCGACGTCCTTTGCAGTGAAGCAAAGACAATATGTTAAATATTTTTCAACACTGGGATGCATGTTGCTAAAATCGTATTGCTAGCAGGCCTTCCGTCTGTGACGATACTTTCTCCCCGTTCATTATGTTCGAAATCGCTTATATTAAATTCTCCCTGATTTATGTGTTTGTTTACCTCTATATGTTATTATTGAAATGATCAATGACTGGAATTTAGCTTCCTCGTATTAGACCATCTCTGCAAAACACGTGAGGAAACAAATGAGCAAATACGGCAATTAGCCTTAATTAAGAGTATCCAGCGACGCTGAACGACTCCAAGGCTAGTTTAACAAGGTTGTGCTTTCATTATATGTCCAACTGAATAAATTGCAACTAACGACCGGAAAGCGAAAAACAGTAATTCTCGCTTTATGTGTGTGTGTGCGTGGGCGAAAGGGACCTCGGGACACACCGAGAGCCCAGAAACGAGCACCTCGTATCGCCTGTCGGTATAGAATGGAAGAGAAACACAGCAGATACTGCGAAAGATGATGGAGGTGATTCAGGGAGGGTAATCTGCCACCACGACTTGTTTATTGCTGCTTTCCAATGCGGCACCACGAGATTGCAGCCAGTCTGCCGTGAGGAAACTCGTGCGATGTCTCTGGAAGGACCATTTGTAGGGGGCACCCTGCAATCATGTGGTGCCTCCGGCTACAAGAGCTTCTTTTGGGGACATTGTTTTTTTTTTTTTGCGCACACTTCTTCATTTTTTATGCCAGCACAGTGGGCCGACCAAAACTAACTATGACGTGCGGGGTTTCCAAAGAGACAGATGATGACGAGAAACAGCGATAGCTTGGTCTGGCAAAAGTGTATCTACGCTGGCACTCCTCATCAGGTGAGAGAGAAGTGGGAAAAAGGCTGTAGCTACAAACGTGCGCTGTATTTGCCGTTAGGTGAAGGGAAGTGTCTCAGCGCTGAGGAAGCCCCTTATTGGAGGACTGAAAGTATCGCAGTGTTTAGAAAGCCCCTGATTGGTCCAACACGACAAAAAAAGAATACAAAAACAAAAATAAGCGCCTACTCACTTCTAAGTTCTGCTCTTAATCTGTTTCTTGGGATTAGAGAAGGGAAATAGGGAAGGAGTAGCCGGTGCCACCATAATGACAAGAACCTCTCCTATTTCAAGATTTCAATGGAAAAAAAACAAATTCTGAGAATAGAACACCAGAAGTTCCAGCCCCTGTTGTCACGAAGTCCTCGCGACCATTATAATAGTCATAACCTTGTACTTTGAACAATAACAGGACAGATGACTGCGTAAAAGTATGAGACCGAGTTGGGATCATACTTCGATAATTAAAAGCAGCTTTTCCCTCCTACCCTCTGACACACACCAATCATTCTACTATTCTGTATCAACACGGCCCAGAAATATCTGCTCCTAAATACAGTTTATAACGCTAAACGACAATGCACACATATTCCCAGCGTGAAAACCACATATAAAGAAAACATTGGTAGCTTATCTGCATTAACCCTAAATATTGAATCTGTGGAACATAGTCTTACTGCTCCGTAATTTTGGGCCAACAAAAAACGCCAAGCCTGAGCGTTAGGCGCAGCACAGTCACAGCGAAAGCTAGAAGAGTGGCCTTTCGGAGCTTTTTCAAAACACTCATTGAGTAACTACTGCAAGCACACTTGCTTGATACCTACTAGGGCAACAATAATAAACTTTTGAGTAGTAGGCCAACATTCGCTATACTATTTTTCGTCATTTTTCTGAGAAGCGTGGTACCCGCAAAACACTTGCATGGAATCTTGTGCCGATCGTCCATGCAGTGGCTGACGACGATGAGGAATTATGACTAAAGTGGGTATGCGCCACGTTTAATAGGCAAACAAGAACGAGCTCTTGTGATTGTTTTGAGCATTGTACGGCCCACTCGTTATGCTATTCACATTGTGCGACGACTAGTAATTCTTTCGCTGTTGTAAAACGCTTTAAAAGTCGCATTAA